AGCGCGTCCAGGCCCGCAACGGTCTCGAGAGCTACGTCTACCAGATCCGCAACACCATCCAGGACAAGGAGAAGATCGAGGACAAGCTCAGCGAGGACGACCTCGAGACCCTCGAGACGCTCGTCAAGGACTCCCTCGAGTGGCTCGACGACCACCAGGAGGCCGACAAGGACGACTACGAGGAGAAGAGGAAGGAGATCGACCAGGTCGTCTCCCCCCATCTTCACCCGCATGTACGGCGCCGCTGGCGCTGAGGGCGGTTTCCCCGGTGGCGCCGACGGTGCCGACGAGGACTTCGGTGCCTACGACGAACTGTAAAAACTCTCCCTCCCTGTCCCCTCCGCATCATCATCCACTTCTCTTCTTCTCTTTCTCTCCTCTCGCCAGCTCTTCTCCTTCCCGCGCGCCAGTTTTGACGAAGAGCTGCCCGGGACCACTATGAAGGAGGTGCCTTTATTATTTAAACCATTACCAGATTCAAATACACAAACCTAACGAGTCGTTGTGGGTCCACCACACACAGACCAACAACTTCATCGTCATCACCGTCGGGATCATCAAAAATCAACCTGTCTCTTGTTGTGAGCTTTGCTCTTCGGTTCGCTGTGGTTCCTGCGCGTGAAGAAGAAGTTTGCGCAACGGACAGGGGGGGAGCGGGGTAACGTCCGATTTTGCCGCGAAATGTGGTGTGGCGGCGCCAGAACCAAAACCGCTCCTCTGACGCCACCGAACAAACAACACACGGACGCGCACACCACCGGGGCTTGGCTGCTGTGCACCGAAGAAAGCTTTTTTTCTAAGACCAGAACTCGAGTTACGACAGGTCGGGGCTGCAACCGCGAGCTCCGAAAGCTTAAGGGAGAGGGCGAAACAACACTGCGACATGGAGCACGAAAAAGGCGATGAGGGTGTCACAAAGCGGCGGATGGAGGAAAAAGACGAGGAACGGGAGGAAGACGAGGACACCAGCAGCAGCACCACGAGCGGTGGCAGTGGAAGCAGCGATGATGAAGAAGAGGAAGGGCTACACTGCAGTTTGGTGGTGGCCGGCCAGCGGAGGTGCTCCGGCCTACTGACCGCCACGGCTCGTGCTCTCCGCTTCGTGCCCCACTCCGACCCCGATCACGTCTATGGTTCGCCTTTACCCTTCCTATGCCAATTTATTTCTATTTTTTTAGTTTTTTTATTTTTCTACGCTCCACGCAGAAGTCGAGTACAGGCGGGTGACGTGGGCGGGCTGGCAGGCGTCGGAGCGCGGAAGCCGCGGGGAGCACTTCGAGTTTGTTGCAAGCGTTTCGTGACCCCAGGCAAGCGATTTCGGAGATTTGAGGGTTCCGCAAAAGAAAAATTCTTTTCTTGCGCAATTGGTTCAGGAAATGTCTTTTTTGTTTGTATTTCCACACTGGCCAGTGGCCACGATTCGACAAGATGAGCGCTGATTTCGGTGCCAAAAGTGGCGCCTATGCGCACACTCATCTTCTATGATGTAGCCGGTGGTTTGCGCACAGGGCAGCTTGATTTGGTGGCCTGTTTGGAGCAGGATCTCGAAATCAATAAAAAATGATTTTTACATAACCATGCCTGGCAAAAGCCGGGCGTATGGGGGAGTCGACAGAATCGCAATCCTGGCCACCTTAAAGGGTACCTACCGGGAGGTACTTTGCTGACGTGTCAGGCGGGGAAAAGGAAAGGTCGACAGAATCGGGATCCTGAGTCGGAGATTAATTTCGAAGTGATCCGCTAATCTTGACTTCATCTTTTGGTTCATTCGATTCAGCACATGACGAAACGGCACTAACGATGGAATCCGTCGGCTTTTGACGCCCGTAGGAGCTCCTAATGCGCAGATTGGAAATGGATACTACGATGAACAGCAGGGCTCGTACGCCCTTGTTATGTTTGGCAACGACACTACCAAGTGTACAGCTACCGGTACGCACCCGGA